ACGACGACGACGACGACGACGACGACGCACGACACTTTGATTTTTAACGCGTGAATGTACACGAGGAGACGTCGCATCGCCGCCGTGTTATTGCCATTGCTATTACGTAATTAGTGTCAGCGAGAATTCGCGTGATGTTCCAAGCCGCGTTAACAGGAGCGAAATCGGCCGGCAACAAACATTCTCGAAGTAGATGAATCTTCGCTTTCGCACGGCAGACACTCGCTTTCGTTTACGTTTTTAGTTTTGGTTTGATCGCCACGAGAGGACGATCAGTCTCAGATCAGTACGCGAAATTTTTATATATCAGCGCTTCAATATTTACCAGGGTCTTGGAAGAGACAGGCCGAACAATCGAAATACGTTCCGGAGCGTAATGACGAAGCACTTATTAAAATCAACAGCGGCTGCAACGGCGCGGAGCCGCGCCGGTGTGCAATCAGGTTGCTCCCTATAAAACGTTAAACTGTTACGAATCACGGACGGACGCGTTCGGAGCCATTATCCCGAGTCTCGAGGACATTTCGCTTTCTTCGTGTCCCCTCGTTCCCCTCCACGCCTGCCCGTTCGCGACGTGCTCTTTTACGCTCGCCGTGTTCGACGAGTCGTTCCTCCTCTTTCTCCGACGGCTCGCGCCTTTCAGCATCATCGGGCCACCGAAAATAAGGTCTTCCTTCGTTCCCCGCGCTTTCTCCTAGCTCCTCATCGCGCCACGCTTCCGACTCGAACGTACGAACTCGCTAGTAGTCCCGGAGAGGTTTTTAAAAACGAGGGAGAGAGAGGGGGAGCGACGCTCAAGAGCGAACTCTGCTCGAGAGCTGCCAATCAAACGACCCGCCAACAGAGTCGGCCTCTTAAACGGGTAGTTTTTCACACTCTGTGCCCCCGTGACAGATTAATTCCGCGCTAAATAGCGACACTTAAGCGTGCCGCGTCATAATTAACGTTTCCATTTCGTTCTCTTCGACGCGGCCTCTTGTTTCTTCCTTTTCCCGCCGCAGCGACAGTAATTCCCCCGATTTTCCGATCGTTTCGCCGGACGATGCTCCGCTGCTTAAATAATAAATAGAAACAGTCCAGCCGTTTCGGCCTGTGTTCCGCCGGTGCCCGGACATGAAATAACCGCGGCGTTCGAAATTCCGCTGATTAATCGGCGCAGGTTCGTTCCGCGGCCGAATATTTACGGCGCGTTCGTCGGGATAATGTATCGGTGACACGACCGTCCCTCATTATATCTCTCCTGTGCCGATTGAAACGTTTCGCGTCGCGTTTTATTCCCGCTTAAACGATCAAACCTGCTCCGTCTTTACGAAACAATTCCCCTCCCCACCCAAGTTTCTCGTCCCTCCCGGCTACAGTTTTTTCATCTTAGAACTTGGAGCAGAAGTTTGTTCCATTTTCAATCGGATAGATTTACAAATACAATTATTACACTTTGGGAGTATTGATACTTTCGGAGCATCCAACGGTGAAAATTTTGGAGCACCTTTTGCTGTTACGAAACAAACCTCTTCTTTTTGAAACCAGAATATTACAATTGTAACTTTGATTTTTTTAATGTAATTAATTACAGTTTACAATATATCTGCGCATATAAAACTTTTGTGAATGAAATGTTTCCTTTGTATACAAAATGTCGTTAATACCTTTGAAATCCTGACATATTGCTACGTCGTAATTATTA